TTTCATCACTACCCACATGAGGGCCCAGAATCAATGAGATGGCAGATCTGATAGTATTCAGTGAACTGTATGACAACCCATTATTAAACTTGGAGGTTAAGAATGATATCACTGTGGGAACCGATGTTGATAGGGGATCCACGTTCTGGTGTTGACAATACTGAATCCATTGATTAAGAGCAGACTCATATTGTTGTCTCGTTTTTCTTGACAGTGATGCCAGCATTATGTCCATTGAAGGAAGCGGTACTTCTTTTCTTAGGAATGCCTCCCTGATAATGTGGCGGCAATTAGGGTGAGACTCCTGTGTAGAGGGTGTAGACTCCTGGAAGGGGACAGCAATAAATCACAATGAGGTCCAAAAATTATTTTTTCTGACACACACAGAGAGTTGAACAGTGGGTACCAAGGTTGAGAGGTCCATTGTGGAACCACAACAATACCTGTGGCCCTCTCTCTCCTTATTTTCTGTAAGACCCTGGATATTAGAGCAAATGGAGGAAAGGCATAGAAGAAGAATTCCTGCCACTGAATGGTGAAAGCATCTGTGGAGTAAGCGTCAAGGTCAGGAAGCCATGATACATATCTTGGACACTTAGCATTGTATTTAGATGCGAACAGATCAATATGGGGTCTGCCTAACTTATGAACAATAGTTTTAAACACTGTTTTGCATAATTCCCATTCTAATTCAGAGGTAGGTCGCCTTGATTCTAAATCCGCTATTGTGTTTTCTTTAGAACTAATATAAGATGCATAAACCCATATTCTCCTTTCTTGGCACCATTGCCACAGTTCCCTAGCTAAATCGTTAAGATGACGAAAACGGGTCCCACCCATCTTATTTATATATGCTATGGCAGTTGTGTTATCTATCCTAAGTAAAATTTCACAGTTACTGCTCCCTGATGCAAATGTCTTTAGTCCTATAAATGCTGCTAGCAACTCAAGATAATTTATATGAAATTTTAAATCATCATTATTCCAATGGCCATGACTTCTGATACCATTACACACCAACCCCCAACCTGTTTGAGAAGCATCAGAGAAAATTTCAAGAATGAAATTAAATTGTTTTATTTTGCTATGGGTGGTTGGGCCGATAGAGTGCCACCAGTCTAAATCATTTTGAATTTCTTGAGAAATACTTAAATAGGCTTTGTAATTTCCATTACTATCATTTAAAGCAGTTGTTTTGTGACTTTCCAAGATTTTAGTGTAGAGCCAGCCATATTCTACACCTGG